TGTGTGTTCATGTGTGTATATTTAAGGAGGTTAATTAAGCAAAACGCCAAAAAATGAAAACTTAAAAAACCTCACAATTCGGATCTTACATCTCTAGGCATAAACATTTGATAAAAATAGAAAATAAATATTCATAGTTTGTGAGGAAGCAAAATGTTCTAAAATGATATAGATGCCCAAACACATATGCATCCACACAATCTATAATACATGTACATATGCATGCATATATATACATATACAAATACTATACAAAGTAGGAGAAATTTAAAAATAAACAGAAGTTAAATGTTTTTCTTTTACAGTATCTTCTATACATCTATATATTATAAAACATAATTATATATCCATTTAAGATCACCAGTGTTTTATGTTACTTGCTCCTTGAAAAGGACTACTGTAAATGTGGTAGAAATAATAAATGAAAAGTAAGCATATTCCCTTTGTATGAATAAATACTTGCACATCTCTATTCAAGAAAACATTTTATCATATTCCCCCTGATAAAATGATACAAAAATTTGTTTAATTGGTGGAGTGAGGGTGTGGTGACATCTAGAAGGTTTCAAAAGAAATAATAAAGTCCTTGTTAAGATGAACTGAAAATTTCTGTGACAAAGTAAAGTGCCCTGTACTGAAGTAAATGTGGCTTCTAAGATTTACAGCTTTTAAAGCAGATGACAAGCTTTCATTCACTATTACTCTGAAATTTACTTGTCTCAGATATACTCTAATGCTTAGACTGCATAATATTCACCACTTTAGACAGGTTCCACCAGAAATGAAGTCTTGGTGCTAGCATTACATTTAGCATTCATTAAAATGTAAGGAAGTAATAATTATGAATCGAAACTCCAAAAATAATTATTAAACCTCTACTATGTTGCAGGCAGATACAACTGAATTTTAATATAAAACATTAGTAAAAAATAATTGAGACTCCTAAAACCCATTAAACAATAGAATATAAAACGGAGAAGGAAGAAAAGATTCCATTGGATCCTGAGCTTCCTACTAGGTAGTAAAATTAAAGTAGAACAGGCTTTGGAGCTGGACCAAACTGAGCTCTAATCCCACTTGTACAGTCAGCAGCTATAGAATTTTAGACAAGTTCATATAAAACAGGTGATAATGCTGCTTGGATTAAATAAGATAATGCAGAGAAAGTACTTCACATATTCCCTGCAGGGTAGTACATTATGATTTTTTTTTCATTAAATATGTAATTGGTAACATCAATGGAAACATATTAACTCTACTCCTGTACTTAGAATATAAAATGTTCTTAGTGAATGTTTGCCGAATGCATGAGCACTGAGTGAAATCCAAACTGTGCGGAGGCACACAACAAAGCCATGACAAGGCTGGAACACTTTCCTCTGTGTCATTCCTCTGAGATGAATTTCCTAGGAAACAAATTTTACCTTTGTAGTTGTTGTTGTTTGGCATGTGTGGTTGTTTAAGTACTTTAAGATCAATGTATTTTTTTTCCCTGATAACTAGTATCATTTCCATAGAATTAACTTTTATATATTTAACTTTTATATTCATAACTCATTATTATGATGTTCTAAAGTTATGCTTGTCTGGTCCCTCCAAAAATTATGGCAGGTTGGTAGAGCAAATGATTATCAGGTGTTTCAGCAGCAAACCAGATCGAGGTCCAGATGAAGGCACAGTTCTGGGATGAGAACACATTCCATAGGTTTCCCTCAGCCTTCAATTCCCCTTAACTAGCAGGCTCTTCCTAATTTTCCAGCATGATTAACATTCCCAAGTTCTTGCTGGCATGTGGCCACTCTTTTAGTCATCACCTTAGGCACAGTGGTTAAGTCAAACATGGACAAAACTGTGAAACACCAGCTCTGGGCCTGAGTCCTTGCTTTGCTCTGTCATTAGTAAGTTATGTGACATGTGATATAAATTTCAACCAGTTCTCTGTCTTCTCTTTTGTTCAAAGAGACAAGATGGTGGTCATTAAAATCATGGGCTTTGTGGTCAGAAGTGTGTGGTTTCATAACCTGCCTTTTCAATTTAAGAGCATTATACCTTTACACAAATTACTTAACTGCTTTCTATACCTCATTTTCTTGATTTACGAAATGAAAATTAATAATGGCATCTAGTTCGATGACGGTCAATTAGACATCTCTAATATACTTATCAGAGCACAAAGCACATGGTTGGTTGTTGTCATTCTTATTATCATTATCATCATTCATATAATATTATCAACTGTCTTTCATGGCTATAATTGTAATCCTCTATACAGAAACTCTACTTTGTTTACAAGTCTAGAAGTCAGGAGTACACAGCAATGAATTAGAAAACAAAAAACAGAAAATATAATTGAGATACAAAAGAAGTCAGAGGCAACAGGAACTGCCAAATGCAAAGTGGTGAAACAGAGTGGATGTAATATAAGCATATAGACCATGTTACTAAAGAGATACCAAGTCCATTTGGGATGCTAGAACACTCAGAAACAAAGTAAACTATGCATTTAAATGAAGATGACATATGAATAGAAACTACTTTATACATCAGAGGCATTTTCCCCAATACAGATAAACAAATGTTGTGCTACATCTTTAAAACTACCACATTTCATTAAATTTGAGTCTAAGTCTATAAATTAGATGCATCTTATTTCTTTAAGTTTTCTGCAGGAAAAAAAAAAGACAATAAATTGTCTGCCCTTAATCTCCAGTTCAAAGCACATATGACACACAAGCCATATTAAATCATGATGTTCTGTGGAATTAGCTCGAAAGTTTTATAATGTGAATTATCTGATAAGAAGCCCCCAAAGAAACAGTGAATACAAGCACAACTGTAAGATTTGGGGAAGCTACAATTAACCATGAAGAAAATGAACTTTATTCATCATCAAAGAATCCTCTTACTTCTGTGAATTTGTTTTACAGAAATCAGCTAAGTTTATTGTTATAAAATTCATAACTATAGAAGAAATAAATCAGACACAATCAGTGTGAAGTTATATGTTAAAAAACAAAACAAAACAAAAAGGTTGCTTAATCCTGACCTAATGTTCTTCTAACTCAATATCTAAGAGACAGAATCAGTGGAAAGAAAACAAACTACATCATATTTTTTTTAAAAAACCATCTACAAGAAATCAAGAGTCTATGATAAATCTATAATCTGTCTGATTCATAGGGACAGAAAACAAGAAACTTGGCAAAGCACAAAACTGGGAAAAATAATAACCCAGCCATTCCAGAATTGGTTTTCTAACATTATTTTTTCTAAAAATCTCAATTCTTCATTGTTCGATTTGTTTTATATAATCAAGATCAAATGACTAGGAATCAGGGGTATTAAAATCAGAAGTAAAGAAACTTGTCTTGCTTTCATCTAAATGTGAAATTTATGTATTTCTTTTCTCTTTCAAGGGCAATACTCTAGATTTGACCCTTCTATTCTTGTCCTCTCTAAGGTACTACGTGTTCACTAATTTTAATTTTACTAAGAACTTCTGGTCTCCCAATTTCTGTTTCAAACTAATGTCTAAACGTTGCACCACTATGCACTATACTGCTGATGTTAATGACTTTTATGATGTAATGAATATTGGGGCTTATGAGTCAGTAAGATGAAGAAGAACATGCTATGCATCTTATCTACGAAACATGCAGACTGCGAGGAGTCCTAAGATAGCTCAATGTTTGATATCTCATGTTATGAATCCAGGGTCATATGGATCAGATTCAACAGTCAGGCAAGAATGATTATATTTTCTAGGTTGTCTGTGACATTCATACCCAGCATTTTTAGCTGACCCTTTACACTTAAAACTGAAAACAATAACAGCAGCAAAATTGGATTGGTAATAACATTCTAAAACTAAAGATTTTTATGTTTTCCCATACAAAATATAACACCAACACCAACGCCAGCTGTTTAAGAGACATAACCTAAAGAAAGCTAGAGCAGACAGCAGCCTCATTATAATCCACAACTTATTTCTCTGCTTGATGTATTACATATTTTAAATTATATTATCTTATCATATCAAAATGAGGAGCTTTAAGAATTAGAAAAAAATCAGAAAAAGAGAAATCCTGGATTATAGATGCTAGCATCAGCCATCACATCTTTATTGAAATAGATCATTAATTACAAGTGGGTCCTTGGTCGAAGGGGACAAACTTAAGACATTGCCCAGCTCCTTGAAAGTGGTCTCCATGTTTCATCAAAATAAGAGCATCTTAGGATTTACAAATAGTGTTCTATAAAATGTTTGTATTAATTTATACTATACAAATATTACAAGGAAGTATTTCCAATGTATGCATAATTATGAAAGTTACTATATAATTAGAAAACAATTCTTTCAAAATTTGAGTTTTCAAATTTGTTTTGAATTTAAAATGAAAAATTTATTTTATTTAATGCTCTTCTTAGTAATTAGTGTGTGACTTCCTAAAGACTGTTGTTTCCTCTTAGTTTCAAAGCAAACTGTACTCAGAATTAGCTATGATCTATTGTCTGTGCCAAGAATGTGTTTTAACTTATAAGTTGTTTATGTTTAATAGTATAGCACCAAAATAGGCTGAAAAAACAAAAATCAGCTTACTCTCTATTATCATCACACTACAATGTTGCCTCTAACATATTTCAAATCAAGAAAGTTACTTGATTTAAAAAGTAACATTTTGATAAGGGAAAAATATTTAATAACAAGATCATAATTTACTTTCTTACTTTCAAAGAATTTCATCACTTTAATGATAATGTAATATTGTTCTTTTTTTTTTTTTACAAGGGCTAATAACATTTCACAACTTGAAAAGTGAACTTGAATGTGAATTTGAATAATTGCTATTTCACTCTAACTTGTTGCAGTGGAGAACATTAGCTATTTGAGAGCTGACATCTAACATCTGTAAGAATTGTGACTTTTCAAACACACTGGCCATCAATAAATATCTTGGGTTATTAACTTTAATAGTGTTTCTGTAAACAAAGAGACCCACCTCAGGCTCAGGGCCAGCAATTGCTCCTTTGACTTCAGTAGCTCTCCCACTTTAAAACTGGCATAGCCCAAGAAACTTCGCTGAAAATAAGAGAAAGAATGGTTTCATTAATTTGAGGTTCTTTAATATTTTTGCTATCACATCAGTCACACAAAATTAGTCTTTAGAAGAATAAAATATTAAATTTATTAGCTGACAAATATTTCACTGACAGAGATACAATTATCAGTAATATATCCATTTCATGGGGTAGGATTAAAGGGTGAAAATGTATCACTTTCCTTAAAAGAAAAGAGACCAACAGGCTAGAAAATAGCAAGATGTAAAATACAATACCCAGAACTTTTTCACTAACTATAATTTTCTCTGCATATGAAAACTGAGGGAAAATAAAAGATGATATATTTTCCATATTTACCAATGCTGTTGTTCTTATTAGAATTCCTCAAATCACTGGCAGCAACAACTTTGTATTCCAGATATGAGCAAATCTGCTAGTTGGAGCTATTTTTATGTGGGACTTTGTACAAGTTATAAATAGAAATGTTATATTTTCCCCCATCACAGCCATGTTTAAAAGCATTTTTTCCTTTGTTATTTCTTTACTAGCATGGGACAATTTCATTCCAGTACACAAAAGAGAATGACACTTACTCAGTTACATATTTTTAAATTGCTTTTTTAGCCTATTATATTAGATGCTGATGACCTATGAATATCTGCTTTCTACTCTTTTTGACTCAATGTAAAAAATAAAACTCCAAATTTTTTTTTTCTTTCCCAGAATAAAAAACCTATCATCTCTTTCTAATATCCCTGGCTACTTCTGATTTAAAAGTCACAATATTATGGGATAAATAACATAAAAAGGAGTCCTCATTCTTCCTTTAAGGTAAAGGAGTAAATATGAAAATATCAAACCCATATTATTTCCTGTGTCACTGCTGCCTACCAAAATGTAATAAAATAAGTCAATGCTACTTCTTCCATAACAGTCTCTCATCATAGGACTGCTGTCAAGCTGCACCAGAATGAGAGGCTGGACAAAGAATTTGAGGGTAACTATATCTTTTTAGAGGTAAATAGGAAGTTATTTCACACATGAAAAGCTACATCCACACTCAGAGATTGCTAGGCAGAGGAAAGAAAAGCTTTAAGTAAGAATTTTTCTCCCTCCTTTAAAATCTTTAACTTAGGTGAGCTGTTCCTAAAAGGCTTAAAATCAAATATCTGGTAACACAGACTCGGTATGGTGGCTTAGCCTGTCATGCCTATAATCCCAGTGACCTGGAGGCTGAGGCAGGAGGATTGCTTGAGGCCAGGAGTTCGAGGCTGCAGTGAGCTATGA